GAACTTAACCACATTCCTGTGGTTGGTCTGAGAAAGAATGAAGACTTCATTGACGAATTGGGCAATCTCAACTTGATTGGTTATATTGGGCCTTTTAATAGCCACCACACGTTGGTCGGACAGCATTCCTTTAAAGACGTGGCCATGGCCTCCGCCGCCGATGATTCGGGTTTTGTCGAAATGATTGGTGGCCTTTTCCAACTCCTCTAGCTCATAGATCTTCATCCTTTCGATCAGAGCGACATCCGAAGAAGAAGATTGTTCTTTTCTTAGCAACTCTAGATTCTGCTGACAGAATTTCTCCTTCCTTTTCTGGACGGTTCTCCGCTTCACCATTCTCCATAGTGCAACAGTAGCTACGAGCAGCAGAACACTGCCCCCTCCAACGCTTACACTGGCTATGATGATAGTTTCTGCAAGCAAAAGGGGTTGCGCACAACGTCATCGTCGGGAGAGAGAGCGAATCGTCGAATGATTCCCATGCGATTAAAAAGGAGAAGAATTATGTAGGAATGTAAAGGAAGAATACTCACTTGAGTTTGAGCTTGAACTGTAACTCTCACAAGCTGATAATAAAGGGTCCCACCTCGTGCCTTTGGGGCATGCGCATGAGTAATTCCCAGGTAAATTGGTGCACAATCCATGGCATGGATACTTTTCTGGGTGATCGCACTCGTTGATGTCTAAGAACAAAGCGGAGGTAAGCGGTCATGCGAGCAGAAAGAAGCAGATAGGGCGGCTACATGGTGAGAGAAGAAAGAGGGAGACCTTCGCATCCGCCTTCCACGTAGGGGTTGCCTTGATAACCGCGCGAGCAATTGCAGAGATATCCGATGCCATTGGTGGCGTTGAGGCAGGAACTGTTATTGCTGCGGCATGCGTAGGAGGTCGAATTTTTCGTTGCTTCCTCGCATCCCACGTCGCCTATCGACCAGTCCAGCACCATCGGAACTTGTCCACCATTTCTGTCGAAGAAGTCGATTTCGTGGAGATCAGGTGTTCGGAAGGTGTACCGACCGTCGTCGACGAGGAAAGCAAAACTACAGGTGTTGTCCCACGAGTTGGCCTCGTGGCCGGTGAAGGAGAAAAGGGTTATGTTGAAGTATTGGAGCCCAGGGAGAATGGAGGTCTGGCAACAGCCGTTGCCGGAGCAGGAACCGTTGCTGAAAGTGGTGTTTTGGTTGCAGGTAGACACGCAGCCGGTCGAATACGACTGATTAGTGGCACCGACGAAGAGCGCGATGGTGTCGCATCCGATGGCCGTGAACCTGTTGCGGGTGCCGGAGACCCTGTAGGGCGTGCCAGTAAGTTCCATCGTGAATGATACGTTGGGGTTTTCGTAGGACTTCTTGCAGTCCCAGGATATGGGCTGGTACACTGTTGCTTGCCCATCGAGAACATCCAAATCGATGACTTGTATGATGCCAGTGTAGAGTTTGGATTCGGTTACGTTGCAGGAGAGGCCCAATCCGTCGAGGTGGCAGCCGGGTTCGATGCCGAACGGGTAAGGAACGTCGATGTTACCGCATCTTCTGGTGCAGTTTTGCCCGAATGCCATTGCCGCAGTTGCTATGATCAGCAGCAGCAGCAGCAGTAACGACGGCAGCTTGTGGATCATCATCATTCTCTTCCCCTCCTTCGCCTCTTACTCCCTCGCTCGCTGCCTTTCTGCCTTCGGTGCCAACCGTTTTAAAACCCAGAGAGCGTCGACCAGCCGTTGACGCGATGGAGCTACAGAGAGGACGACCGGCGTCGACCAGTGGCTGTTGACCTGAGCGGAGCTTCGTCTATTTCTAGCAACGACGCATGCGATTAGATCGAATATTTGTAGTTTAGCATGGGATGTTAATTAGGCTAAAACGACGTAGAATCAATCATACCAATTAATCATATGGATCGAATATTTTTTATATAGTCATACATATTTTCCTCATCTAATATGTATATACATAAAATAATTAGTTTTAGAAGGTAAAAGCATTTCTTATTCGTATTATTCCACTAGCTTTGGATCGCCAACCAACCTTAAACATTACCAGTTGAATTCACGTAGCCACGCAAATCTCGAGAGGCACTTCCGACTTAGCTCATTCTAATATGTAAAATAATACAATGAGTGCAAACGATTAATAGAGAAATAGATCGAATTTAAAAGACAATAAATATCAATAATAAGCCATTGATTTTGAATTTATAAGTCAATTATTTTGAATGATAATTATCAAAAGATACTGTTAAAAAAAATTTATTGGTGTTGAGTAATTATTACTTCAACTTAAAATTAAGATGAGATTGTAACTCATGATCGGCAATCATGAAATTTGGGTAAGAATATATATGAAAAATGTAAAATGTGAGATTTGACTTGAAAATTTTTCCGACAGTAATTAAGATATTTGCTAACCAAATTGGATGTGTCCATATACATGATGGCGTATGGGACACTCGGGAGAAGGTGATTGAAATGACAGATAGTGAAGAAAAGTAAGAACAGGAGCAGGTCATTGTGGACTAAGGGATCGTTGTTGCTTGGAGCCTCTCCTAAATTTCTTAGAAAAAAATTATAGGCTCTCTCAATGTAATTTTCTTCTATATCATCCTAAACAGAAAAAAAGATTTATATGTATGGTATTCTAATGAACAGCTAAATCCTAGTTTTCAATTGGTTTTTTTACCTTTGGATTTTTTATCCTTCAAATAATTTGATTTTGCGAAGCAATTCGGTTCTCCATAACAAATCCAAAATCTATTGTATTTCTACATTGAATCTAAGTCGAATTAATCAGGGTTGCCCAAAAGACCATCTTTATTAAGTTGTAGATCACACCTTCATCTTTTATTTTCTTGCTGTGGATTATAACATGATTACAATACACGAGAAAAGTGCACATCGATGGTTTGTAGGTAGAGGTAGTTGTTCGCACATTTAGTTTAATGCATGCATGAATTATTTTTGGCAATTTGTTTACTGTTTATGGTCTTCTAAGTGAAGAAAATATTATAAATAAAAAAAATACTCTAATGTTATTGATGAAAATTAAGGTAAATATTTTATGACTCGAACTATTGTGTGTGGAGACCATCACTATCACTAACTTCGAACATAATTGGATAGATAGAGATAGAAGTTAGTATATTTAGTTTAATGCAAGCATGCATTCTTCTTCGGTAATTTGTTTACTGTTTATAATCTTTATGTTAAGAGTACAGAAGAAAATATTATAAATAAAAAAATATAATGCTATTGATGAAAATTAAAAAAAAAAATATTTTATGACTTGAACTATTGTAGAAGAGATCATCATCATCATCGGATAATTAATTCAAGATGTGATCATCATCATCTCGAGTGATGGTACTAAATTCACGATCTTCGTCAACATGAGGTGATAATATAATTATCACGATACGTAACACTAGATAATACTGTTCACCAAGAGGAGAAGAAAGATATTATTATAATATCGAATAAAGATAATGATTCTATTATATTGAAAAGTATATATCATATTTAAAGAAAGAAAAATATTTTTTCTATTACAAATAAAATTGATACTATAAATTATGTTCATTTTGATCTTAATGAAGTCAAATTTCTTTATAACATAAAAAAAAATTAAATATAGATATATAATACATGCTGATAAGAGGGTCAAAGATTATATATTTTATCAACATCTATGTTGATAAGATGAATACAAATAATGATGCATCAATCCGGTATGCTATAGTTGGCTATTTTAAAATTTTTTAAATTAAAGATTATGATGAAAAAATCTAATTAATGTTCTTTTTAATCTTACTACTTTTAATAATAATAAAGTTTACGAAATGTACAAGTAATATTATTCGTAGACATAAGATTCACTTGCGTTTACTTTGTAAAGAAAAAAATTAAATTTTTATTAAAATTTTAACAATTGTAGGTGTTTTTTTTTTTTAAAGCTTATGATAGATTTCTCTTTTCAAAAAGAGATGATACCAAAAAGAATTCACTTATGTAAATATATTACAATAAAATAGTATGACAACATGAAAATTTTGACATAAAAAAGGAATCCATGCTAATAATTTACTAAAATCCTTATGGATATAAAGTATGACATATGTAACTTATGTTATTAATTGAATTCATCTTAGTTCAATATAAAGTCTTCGTATGACACTATGCTTCGTGAGAAATCAAATATTAAATATTTTAGAGTATTTGATTCATCATATTTTGTTCACATACTAGACTTAAAAAGAGTAAACTTAATGCTACAACCAAAAAATATATCTCTATTGATCATGATGAAAGAAAGAATGTTTGAAAATGTATGAATTCATAAATATATAAATATATGATATCCGAATATATTGTGCTTGATAAGTTTTATTATTATTATTATTATCTTTGATAAGTAGTTTTTTTTAAAATATCAATCATGCAAAGTGATATATGTTCAATAATTATATTATATATTATATATTCATTATTTCATATGATAATGGTAAAAAAATTCATTGGTGTTGGCTAATTATACTGCTAGAGATGTGATTCAACTTAAGATTGAAACTCATGATCGGCAATCATGAAATTTGGGTAAGAATAGATATGAAAAATGTAAAATGTGAGATTTGATTTGAATTGAAACTTGGTGATGCAAATGGGAACAGTGCATGTCGTTGTGGATTAAGGCCCGTTGTTGCTTGGATTGGGCTCACAAATGGGCCTCTCTCTCCTAAATTTTCTGGGAAATATTTTTGAGGCTCTCTCAATGTAATTTTCTTCTATAGTATTTTAATGAACAATTAAATCCTAGTTTTCAATTTATTATTTCATATTTGGATTTTTTATCCTTCAAAATCTAATGTATTTCTACATTGAATCTAAGTCAAGTCATCTTTTATTTTCTTACTGTGGATTATAACATGATTGCAATACGCAAGAGAAATGTGCTCATCAATGGTTAGTAGGTAGAGGTAGATGTTAGCACATTTAGTTTAATGCAAGCATGAATCCTTCTGAGGTTTTGACTTCCATAGAATTTGAGATATAGAGGTATTTGTTTCTCTTGGTGATCATGTTGGATTCATTCAAAGAAAGATTTGCAGTGTAAAAGACAAGATGATGGCTTCCACAGTTTTTTTTGTGCTCGGTTGATATCATACATATAAAACATGGTTTTAACATCAATAAGCTTGTCATTATCAGTTCTTTGTTTCTGATTTGATTCTTAATCTTTGCAGATGTTATTGGATCAACCAATTTGCCGCAGTTGAAAGCAAACACTTCTGCAAGCAGAATCGATGTCAGATCAATTGCACATCCGCAGGATTGATTCGTGGCAGATCCTCCAAGTGTTCAGCTTCCATGAACACCTTCAACCAGAAGTCCATGTCGTCGCTGGTGGTGGAGCTGAAGGAGCTCAGACTCTCAGCCACCGCAGCTCCGGCTGCAGACGAAGGGACTTGCAGCGACGTAAGCGTCATGGATTCCGTGGAACTCTCCATCGAGAACGCTTCGTCCAACCAAAAGCTCTCATCGATCACCGCCACTTCTTTGGAATCGTAGCTCTCCTCCTCCCTGGCCTCCATGTTGCTGCTGGTAACGTCTCCCGACACGGCCGAGGAATCAGCGGTGGCCGCGGAGGAGAAGCCACTGTATGATTCTTCCACCGATACCTCGATCACATCACATCTCGGATTACCCGAGTCTGCGTCCGCTTGCGGGTTTACTCGCTCGGGTTCCGATTCGTTCTTGGGATCACGCTTCTTCTTCCTCCTCCTCTTCTTCGGCGCTTGCGTCGCCTCCTTCGGATCCATGCGCTTCTTCAAGTGGGTGTGCCACAGGTTCTTGATCTCGTTGTCCGTTCGACCCGGCAAACTGGCTGCGATCGCAGACCATCTGTCGAGAAGAAGAAGCAACGTGAGTTGATGTAATCTAAATGAACGAACGCGGCAAGAAGGACAGCGATCGATCCGGACATACTTGTTGCCAAGCTTCTCGTGCAGGCTTATGATCGTGTCCTCTTCCTCCGCGGTGAAGTTGCCTCGCCTGATGTCCGGCCTGAGGTAGTTCGTCCACCGCAGTCTGCAACTCTTCCCACATCTCAACAGCCCTGAGAAGTGAAACAGGACACCTCTCAGAACCACAGATACAACTCAGATGATCTGAGAACCTAATCATGCATACTCATGCTCACCTGCTTTCTTGGGCATGGCTCGCCAGTTCCCGTGGCCATGTCTCTGGATGTACTCGACCAGAATCCTGTCCTCTTCTGCACTCCATGCCCCCCTTCTGAGACCCACCTTCTCACAGCAAGGAGCTCTCCCCATCCTTCCTGTCTCCCTCCCTTTCCTTCATCCCATGAGTCCCACGGAGCTGCATGAGGCCTCGGCAATATATAATGGTGTCCAGTTGCCAACGTGCAATGACAAGTCCAAGCTGATCTCACTACCATGCAGCTCTGTTACCTACCATGACCCCATCTATCGCAAGTTAATGAAGCCCTTGTCATACTTTTCCGCAATGTAGACCGAGTCAGATTAAGTGGCAGCAATATCGAGCTTGGTGAAACGAACACATACATTAATCAAGTCACATTTACTTGATGTACTCATGCAGTAATCATGATTCAAAGGTTACCTTGGAAAGAGAACAGACAGTGCATCATGATTCAAAGGTGCGGTGTGGACTGGAGAGTGTTCTCACGCTGTCACCTTCCTTTCAGCAATGACTGCATTTGCGTATGACTACACTCTGATCATTAATGACTGCTTCCTTTTGGCTTCAAGAAAACCTCACACGATCCAGAGTTGGTGACACTCAATCGCATGCGATGTCTTCACCTGGCCACCTCCACCTCACATGCATGCATGAATGCATGCAGGACTTCTTCCTCCATCAACAGGAGAAGCTCGACTTCACTTTCTAGCATTGACCAATGGAGACACCTTAATTGAATGCTTGGTTGAATTCTAGGAAAGAAGCCTATTTCCATGACACAAAATGCTTCTGAAAACATGTTCTTATTGAGGCTTAGAGGGAGTTGTCCTTCTCTTCTTGTGCACCACAAGTCTTCATGAGATAATTTTCTTCCAAACACGAGTTTCCATTACAAAGATTTGAGTAATGGATACATATTGTCGCGTCATTTTCTTCCTGGTTCTGCAGCTTGCAGTTGTGCATTCATGGTTGGTCGCGGCGGAGATGGTTCGAAAGATAACAGGGCAAAAACAAGAGCTGCTGACAAACTCCCAACTTATCTTCCCCACCGAACGGATAACCAAACCGTTTGCTGATAAGAGATAGCCTCCATGTCTCCGTCTTCCCAGCGAGACCAGCACTGCTCAAAGCAACTGGACATGGCGAGTGGGAAACTTCCTGGCGTTGAACGTTCAAACCGACCTCAGCTCTGCTTTCCTTCAGCAAAAGACAGGTAGAAGCCGTAGTACTCAAGGCAGTGGTGCACTGCGTCGTTGTCGATGCACGAATGACTTGCGCCTCCACCAACGCATTGACTCCCATCGCTTCCGTTCCAGCACGCTGCTCAACGCACATCCATTGCTTCTTGATTTGTGTTATTTTACTCGTGTGGAGTCAATGACCGGATCCGATGGTAGTTGACCGCTGCGGCCTCCAAACTCCATGTGTTCCAAGATATACACAACTGTATTCGGAGTGCGCCGTTCATGACTTGCCAATTCATCATGGTTGAATGAGGAATATGAATCATGCCGGCATTAGGCTCCGTGCTGAGAAAGTAGTCTCAAGTAAACAGCTGAAGTCAGCAGCACATCGGGTGGTGTTTGACAGTGACAAGTGCAGCGTGTCCGCTTGCGTGCATGTGGCATACACGTCGGCATGTATGACAGACTCCTTTGTTGACCCAATGCTCGTCATATCAACACTAATGCTGACTTAATATTTTCGTTGACCAACTTTGTACCTACCGTTTACCGCTGCACGTGACAATTTGATAGACACAACAGGAGATATGTCATTGATCTCGGGTCAGGCCCAGCGAATGTTATCTGTTGGGCCGTAGCCTTGCAATGCATCGGAGTCGAACCGTGGTCAGGATGACGTCATATGACTCTGGGCTTTCGAGGCCCATGTTTACATTTATACTAATAATAAAACGATGTCTATTATTTAGTCTCTCTTTCGAATTAAAGAGAAGGGGAAGAGGCAAAGGGTGGGGGGAGAACGCAAACTCGTCTGCTTCGTTTCGTCCTCGTCGATTCGATCGATCGATCGATCTCACCCCCTCTTCCCCTTCGACGGGCGCAGCCGCCGGAGTCCTCCAACCCTCTCCTGTCCGTCCCCTCGCCTTCCGTGCTCCGTAACTCCTCGTTCCCCCTCTACTTTTGTGTCTGTCTTCTTCGATCTCCCTAATCTATTTGGATTTGGTCCTAGAGAATGGTTGTGTGCATTTCATTTTTAGGGTTTCGTGGTCATCTTGGTTCCTCTTTTCATCTGGTCTTTGTTCTTGTGTTTGGGTTCTTGCCATCTTTTCCCACGCTTTCCATTTTGCCTAATTGTTGGTTCTTTTATTTGGTTTCCCTGTTGTTCTTGATGTGGGTTCCATTTGTTGGATCCTAGGATGAGGTCGCCTGTGGCGAGGTCAGGGTTCTTGATGATGGTTCTGGTGGTTCTTGGAGTCTCGGGTTGCGGGAGGGCCAAGACCGAGGACGCATACGTCACCCTCCTATACGGAGATGAGTTTCTCCTGGGAGTTCGTGTCCTCGGGAAGTCGATCCGTGATACCGGATCCACCAAGGACATGGTCGTCCTAGTCTCGGATGGCGTCTCCGAGTATGCCAAGAAGCTTCTTGATGTAAGGTTTTTTACTTTTAATGTTATTCATTACGTTTATTTTCTTTGTTGAAACTAAGGGTACATTTTGGTTTCTGATAACTTAAATTTTTTGACTCGTTCGGTGTTGCAAGTGATTTACCTGTTCGTTTTGTAAAAGCTAAATTGTGATATACAATTTAGATGAATCTGATGAAAATTGAAATTGGTCCTTTAAACTGATTAGTGATTGGTCGTCTTAATGATATTCAAACTAACCTACTGTCACGGACAAAATTCTAAACATGATGTTTGATGTAATGTTTATGTATGTCCATGTCTTTTGGTTTGTTCATGCTTTCGACAACATGTAGAGGGACGGTCGAAGGCTTAATAATCTCATTTTAGTTGAGTTTGGTGGTCGTTTTAGGCTTGTAAATAAAGGTTGTGTCATGTGAACACTTGTGAGAGATAATCGATTTGTAGTGGATTATTTTGACCCTTTATTGTGCAATCGTTCAGAGCTTGTAAAGTTTGTTTATAATTTGCATTATCTATGAAGTGGGGGACCTAGCAGGGCTGCGTTGAGGACCTAGCGGGGCTGCGTTCAGAGCTTGCAAACGTGGGGGACCTAGCGGGGCTGCGTTGAGGACAGCCAGCACGCGTGACTGTTTAGGGGAAAACGGGCATGAAGATGTAGGGAAAAGGAGTCGCTCAGAAGAGCGGACATATGAGATTGACATTCAGAGGAATGATCAACCCTTCACGCAAGAGGCACCATGAGAATAAGCAAGCTTAGAAGAATGCGTAGCGCACAAAGGTTGGGATGGTTGAGTTCGAGCTACGGCTCGACGTTGACAACAATATTTGATGGTGCTCATGGCAAGCGAGGCGCTCGGTAATGGATGAGACCATGCAAGGTGGAATGGGTTGCTCAGCGACCGAAAGAGTTGTGCAAAGCTCACAAAGGTGAGGGGAATTGCTAACTCGAAGAATTCGGTACTCATACAAGAGCTTGTATGCGGACGATGAAATGTTCGTGGCCATCCCAAGGCGATCGAAACATGGTGTCATGGAGCATTGAAACATGGTGCCATGAAGGAAGCGGTGCGCAGCGGAGATTATGCTGGGAGGGGCAGAGGCCCATGATCCAGACAATGGTACACCAATTTCAGGGAAGTCGGTGGACTTCGGGAGTTACTAGGCGACAGGTTGTCCTAGAGTTGTGTTTCGTCTGAGTGTGACCCGAGAGCGGGTGGACGAATGTCGATTGCCAAAGGAGCGAACAAAACCGAAGGTGGAAGAGACCTTGGAATGTGTTGGCAGAGACCACACATGGAGGGATCAAAATTCGAGTTCTTCCCACAAGGATCAGAATGCAATGGAGATATCACCAAGAGGCGACATGGTGCAGCGGATCGTGGTGGAACAGTTCGTGGAAATGCGATACACACGAATATTGCCCCGTGAGGGATTATGTCATACGAAGGTATGATCAGGAGCTACTGGGAGCTCCACTTCGGTGGACAACACGACGGCAAGAAGGGCTATGGATTCAAGGGGTGAAGGTTATGGTACCGCATAGGCTGGTCTTTCGTGCGTGTATCGAATAGCCTTGGTCATCAGCATATGGGGGCTGTGTACCACCGAGGGAAAAGCTCGAATGCAAGTACCAGTGAGTCCCATGGGGGGGACTTGATCATGCAGAGGTATGATCGAAGCAGCTGGAGAGTTGGACTATTCCAGAGCCAATATTCGCTTAAGGGAGCTCGACAAGTCAGAGGACAAGGTCGAGCAAGCGAACGTTGCTACCAAGGAAGCTAAGTAAAACATAATCGGTGTGAACCCTGAAATATGATGGTAGAGACCATACATGAGAGTTGCAGTCTGTCTTTCCATCGACCAAGGGGAACTGTTTGGAGAACAGAGAGGTGCTGAAGCAGGGGGTCGAAAGGGGTGAGGAAGCGACGACGAGTCCAGAGGGACTTAGCTACCCAAAACCAAGCATCTATTAGAATGAAGGTGGACTCGGAGGAGTGTCATAGTGCCACAAAGGCAGATCTACTGATCGTGAAGGGATGCAGATGTGAGACGACGGATAGTAGGGCCATAAGCATGACAACGCCATGGTATCGCTGAGGCGAGACTTCCGTGAAGTCATCGATCCCTTGCTCTCATGGAGGGAGAGCGCTTGGTCGTGAAAGGGGCCGAGAAGGTGGAGCATGCGGAGGCAAACTCCAAGTACCAAAAAAAGGTTGAAGGGCAGAGGCCAAGGAACTTCGTAAGATTGGTGTCAATGAGCTTCTCATCAAAATAATCGAAAGTGAAGGACTTCAGGTCGTGCACAAGCAACGAAGCAGATAGTACACGGTGCTGTACCTTTGCTACTCAGTGGAGTAGGTGACATGGTTGATGGAGAAGACGGTACAATCCCAGAGGCGACCAAAACTATTAGAGACTTACTCTAAGTTGGGGTAAAAACTTCTTGCATTCCAGAAGTTCGATGGCATTGAGAAGGTGAATCACAGTAGCTGACTCAACGCAAGAAGTGCAAACACTTCAAGTGCTTCAGAAGTGTGAGCAAAGAGCAGGCGAAGGCTAGTAACCAGCTCGATGCATGGAGTACAACCCTCGAAGAGGCGGGCGAAGTCAAGTAACATTTGTCTTCTCAACTCTTAAGAGAATGGGTGAAACCGAGTACCCCAATTCTCTTATCTATCCAATAGAGGAGCTCTGCACAGGTTCAAAGACCCTTCGAAGATAATCGAAGATAATAGTTGTTAAATCCTCACCAATGGTGATCAGTGCTACTGAGAGTAGATTATCCGCTTTATTTCCAAACAGAATGCCAATCAAAAACGGAAGTGATGCGAATCTACTTGGAAGTGACAACCAAGTGAAAGAAGAGTCGATGGGCAAATTTGGTGGAGGAAGGACCCAAGACTTCAAAAAGTTTACGAGGCGATGCTCGTTAAAGCTCCAACAAGCATCCACCCAGTTCAAGCAGCATGAGACATTTGGGAGACCGACGCATAGTAAGGATGATCTTTTCCTTCATCTAAAGGATCCGCAGTAACCAACAGGGACCAACACAACTCAGCCAACCCCACACTAGAGTCAGAGTCATTGGCGAGTTGAAGCAGCGTGGCGGATCAGAAGTTCGACTACTCAACAACAGCAGCAGAGAGCAGCTAGGAGCCAAGAGGCGCATTGCAGCTGGAGTAAAAGATTGAAGACTTAGTAAATGTGAGGAGTTGCAGTGTCGGTAAAGGCTTCGACGAGGACGTCGAAGGAATAAGTGGGGGAGAATGTCACAGACAAAATTCTAAACATGATGTTTGATGTAATGCTTATGTATGTCCGTGTCTTTTGATTTATTCATGCTTTGCATAATATGTAGAGGGACGGTCGAAGGCTTAACAACCCCATTTTAGTTGGGTTTGGTGGTTGTTTTAGGCTTGTAAATAATGGTTGTGTCATGTGGACACTTGTGAGAGATAATCGGTCTGTAGTGGACCATTTTGACCCTTTGTTGTGCAACCGTTCAGAGCTTGTAAAGTCTGTTTGTAATTTGCATTGTTTATGAAGTGTTTTCTGAAATGTTTGCTTGTGGATCCCGAGTGAGACGCTTTCTCTAACCCGTTTTCTCTTTTGTAGGTCCTAAGGGACCATGGGAGGTTTCGGGGAGGTTGACCTTTGCGGACGGACACGCAAGGGCGCCGCATGACTTAGGCAAAACAAGCTAAGTCCGTGACACTAGTGCCAATTGTACTTGATCTATATTTCTGTCAATTTGGCAGCAAGCTTACAGATGGTAAAATTAAATAGTTGTGTCATGGTTTTGGGTTCTCATAGTTAGGAACATTTAGTTACCAGATAGTAAAATCAAATAGCTGTGTTATGGTTTTGGGTGTTCATAGGTAGGACCATGATTACCTTGTGGTTACATTTCCTCCAAACTAATTGAGCAGCAAAGGAAAAGGAAGGGTATGATTGAAAAAACACAATAATAAGAAAGAAATAGATGTTGGGTAGGTCACATGGAAGAGTTGTATCTAGCACAGACAAGAGATTCCAGTCTCCTTCTTGACTGAGGTGAACATTCTTTTGAGTCAACAGTTATGATTAAACCAACCCAAGTAGACTGGGTTATGACTGAACCTCTTGAACCAGTCAAAAGCTGAATAAAAGAAATGGGGCTTTGGTGATTGGGAGTTCCGAAATCCTGCTGCTGCTCAGTGAAACTCGCTGGTTTGCAACCAAATGGTTGCTGGTTGCTGTGTATGGTATGCAAGGAAACAAGAAACCATGTATATGTATTTACTATTGTTTGCCGCATACTATGCACATGTTTTCTTGTGAGTCCGTGTTTTGTAGAATATGAGGTAATGAGTCTATAATTGGGGAATTGTACTAAAGATTTGAGAAAGGTTGAAAGTGTTTCAGTTTTTTACCTATTTTCCATTAAGGTAGGCAAAGTTTGAAAGAAACAGAAAGAAGGTAGAATGTGTTTTCTTTGACAACGAGCTGAGATTTTCTATCATGATGATATAGTCTTCATTCAGGATGGGAACATTGTGGTAGTTGATACACCCACTACACATGTGTGCATATATGTGCATGTTTACATAAGTTTATATTCTGTATGTTTGCGTGCATGCATATCGGTGTCATCAATAGGTGTTGAAGTGCTCACCTAGACACTCAGGTAATGCAAAACAATATTGGAGCAACCAAGGGGCCCTAGGCATGGCGATGGAGGCACTGGGCAACCAGATGTATGTCTGGACCTTGCTTGAGCTTCTGACCCAGGAAGCTTTATTCTCTGCCTCCCAAATTAAACCCATCAACCTTTACACTATCACCCATGCCTGACCCTCTGTTTTTGTGTTCTATAAAATACTAATCAAATCTCAAGTTTTTGCAACAAATCAATATGTTTATGTATGTATATGTTGCATACTACGTGGGTATATGTATATGGAAATGATTGATTTGATAGAACACAACAAAGTCGTAAGTCCCAACTATTTGGGGTCGGCTACATGGATCATTTACTGCCAGATCTGTAAAAAGTCATATGTGTAGTTAAGTTTAGGGTATTTAAATCTTTATTTATAATTTCTATTAAAGTCTTTTTAGTTCTTCCTCTATCTTTCCTTGTATAACTAATATTTATCATTTTACCTTTTCTAACTATTGCATCCGTAGGTCTTCTAAGCATATGTCCATACCATCTTAAATGATTCTCTTTCATCTTATTCTTTATTTAAACGATGCCTGATTGTTCATGAATAAAATTATTTCTTTTTTTGTCTTTCCTAACAACACCACACATCCAGTTCTATTGGTTTTGGATGGTTTCTGCTATCATGTATCAAATTTTGTTGGATTGTAAATAGGCATTCTGAACTTTATTTTAAGATGACTACTTTGATGTTCATAGACAATACTTATCAATGCCATATTTAACGTGTTTGAAACAAAGTTAACAACTGGAAGTATCGAGTTTTCTTATATTTTATGATCTTGAACACAAAATTAAGAAATATAGTATTTAGTGGTGTTTTCATATGATTACAGTATAAAGCACCTAATATCATAGTCTAGTTCACAGAACTGTAAAGATACTAAATTCCTGTACATTTTGCAATACAGACAGGCTGTCAATTTTTATCCAAGTAGTGGATATTCTCTACTCTGTATGTCACTTGACTGTGCATAAAACCTTCTTAAGACATTGGTTTGTTAAGTTTGTATATCAGACAGGTAAAACATTATTGATTGTTTCTTTCTTTTTGGAAATATTGGAATTGTTCAATAGTACTAAAATTTTGATTTCTACATTTTTTTTTGTGTCTAATATATAATATTAACTTAATACTTCTTAGATAAAATGTAGGCTGATGGTTGGATTGTCCAGCATATAAGTTTGTTGGCCAATCCAAATCATGTGCGGCCAAAGAGGTTTTGGGGAGTGTACACAAAATTAAAGATATTCAACATGACAGATTATAGAAAAGGTATTTTTTTTTTGACATCCCTCCTATATCCTTATGGTAGAAGAACTCAACTTCTTATTTGTTCTTTTGTGTGACTTATTCTGCTTTTATTGTCATCCTCCAGTTGTTTATCTTGACGCTGATACAATTGTCGTAAAGAGTATTGAGGATCTATTCAAGTGTGGAAAGTTCTGTGCAAACTTGAAACATTCTGAAAGATTGAACTCTGGGGTGATGGTTGTAGAGCCTTCTGAATCCACTTTTAGAGATATGATGAGCCAAGTGAACTCTTTATATTCTTACACTGGAGGTTAATACCTTTTCCTAATCCCTTTACTGCCTTAGATCCTTAGCCTGATCATGGATGCATATTGAATTGATTTTCGTTCTTCATGTCTATTGAATTTATCCTATTTAATTCTGGCATGTTTTAAATTTTGAAAACATTTTAAAATGATGGGACATGGAATAACAATCTTCAGAAGCCCAACTTGCTTGTGTTAAAAAAGAATCTTTCTATTGATGCCATATTGTACAGAACAAAAAGATGTGTTGCAACTATGTCTAGTGTTCTTGGAGTTGGTGTTTCATCTTAGTTCTTGCTTGGTAGTTGGTACCATGTGGAATGGTATTTAAAGCCATGATCTAGTTTTGACATATGAAGTAGCAATCACACTTATAATAACTTAGTATCATTGTTCTTTTCTTTGCTTTATCTCTTCACTTCTCCTAATTTTTGCAGGAGATCAAGGTTTTCTGAATTCATATTATTCTGATTTTCCCAATGCTCATGTTTTCGAGCCCAATTTGTCTTCAGATGCCATGAATTCTAGACCTGTACCTGTAATGCAACGGCTCTCGACTCTATATAATGCAGATGTTGGTCTTTACATGCTGGCCAATAAGGTAACTCGCAGGTAGCAATTGGAGCTAAATGATGCATTTAGATCACTAGACACTTGCATTAGTAGCGCTTCATATCGTATCAACTAAATGATCTTGAGAATTATATGGTTGTCTTCTTAGAAGTTCACTCCGAGGGGATTAAAGTAGTCTTTTTTCTGTAGGTTTTTCATTTAAAATGCTGCTTTGTCTTTCCTATTTAATAAATGTCCTATAATTTTATGAGGCCATTCCTCTTCCTTATGCTTGCTGTCTTTGCCGGGATGATTCTAAAGATAACTTCGGAAGATGGGAAATTGACTGTGCTCGTACTGACAGTTTGGCGTCCTTGCCCAGTTTTCATATTATCCTGATTCCCCTTTCTTGATAACATAGCAGACTACAATTTTTCTTTGGTGTGTGTATTGTATGTGTGCATGTGGCTGAACTAGAAATACTTTGTATGAAGGAAACAATGTTTTTCTTCTTCTCTGCCCTCTGACAGTTGTCATTATGTTTCTAATTTTCTATTCAGTGTTTTGGTTGATGTCTTTGACCTTATTAATCTATCTCTCAAGGGCACCGAAGGTCTCCTTAGTGCTTTCTCTTCCGTAATGTGATACACTTGAGTAATTCATGAAGTTGCTGCAATGATTGAAACTATCTTGAAGTACAGTTGGAGCCACCACCAGTCTTATAGGAACGGATGAAAAACAGTTTACTATTGCTGAATCTCTGCCTGTTTCTATTGTTCCTTGGATGAAGCTGCAAGCACGGATGAACTATAATGCCTTTTATCGTTAATACTTGTTTTAAGCCAGGTGCCTGAACACTTTGATGCCCAATCATCTTTTTCCGCCCTATTTTGCCCACTTCTTCCAAGCCTACTTAATGCACCAGCTCTTCGTCTTCCTTCTAATTCTGAAGGCATCTGATGCAGGCAGCCTCATGCGAAATGCATTATCAACCTAGATATATGCCTTGTGTCTACTGTCCCATATTATATTCATTTGCAGTGATGTCTGTTCATCTCTATCATGCCCGGTTGTTGCTTCTGGCATCTTGTGACTGAGACCTTGGTGTCGCTTCCACTCAACCTGTAGATGATCTGATGTAATATATCAGTATTGTATAGTGAATGTTACCTTTTATTTTGAACATGGTTAAAAAATGTAGGTTTATTTTCTCGATGATTATAAGTTGTTTTTTTCTTCGTAAATCCCAGTAAACTTCTAAGAAATGGATTGATGATCGTGCTAAAAATAGGTAGATATAATAACCATTTTTTGAACCAGTCAAGAATATGCTTATTATCTTAGATCTACATTTTTAATAATTAGAATTTCCTTTCTCATTGCAAGCATCACAAGAATTCTGCATAATATGAAGATCTAATTGTCAATAGGTATATCTGATACATCTATCATTATCTTTATAGGACACATAATTTTGCTTTATAAAAATGGGAATCCTGAAGTGTGCTGATGCTAATTGTTAAGTCATTGAAAGTTTTTATTTATAGGTCTTAGAAAAAGAGATCTGTATTTTTTTTATTAGACTCTATCCAATTAGCAGCTTCGGTTCTGCTCCATTGCTATACCCATAAAACCGATAAATCTTCTTTTTTTAAAAAATAATTTTCCAAATAAAGTAACTCAGTTTGTCTATTTAATTGATAAGAACAAGCATCCTCTACTTGTCGACAATCGGCATGGTTCATAGGAAAGATTGAATTTTATCAAGAGAAAAATGCATCTGGTAGTACTATTCCAATATATTATGGCATCATAATGTAAAATGGAAATTTGCATTACTAAGTGTCATGTTTATGCCATTTTGGCTCTTCCAAGTGCACTGTTTTTTGTATTAGTTGCTGAAAGATGCTTTTATGCTTCCTGTGCAGTGGATGGTTAAGGAGGAAGAACTTAGAGTTATTCATTACACTCTTGGCCCCCTTAAACCATGGGACTGGTGGACAGCTTGGCTTCTAAAACCAGTGGACGTGTGGCAGGTGATTGACTTGATAGCTTTAGCTTATGTTACATGAATTCTTTTTTCATAATTTTTTCTCCAAGTTCCGCTTACCCACAATAAATGTCAGGATCTACTGTTACTTCCTTAATATGTGATTGATTCTATCTTCTTAGAAAATTTAGCTCAAGATACTTATGTAAGAAATTATAGGAAAACTTTTGTTAAAATTGTTTGCCTAAACCCTGCAGAATGTTCGGAAACAACTTGGTGAATCTCTTCCTGGGACTGGTGGAGGAAGAGATCCTCATGACCAGCTGTTGGTCAAAACCTTATGTGCTTTTCCTGTTTGCTTGCTGTTTTTATGTTATTATGGTTCCTTTCTTCAGGTTAGTGAGACTATTCTCAGTTGCTATTCAAAGATGACACTCGCTGGAAAAGATTGACTTGTGTTTCTGATGCTGATGCAGATAATCAAGGATTTCACCAATATACTTTCTCGAAATTCCATCTGTGATTATGCAAGGCGTATCTACCAGCGATTTAGATCAGGAGGCCTTCCTGCATATTCTGGTGTTGGAGTTGCCCCATCTTCTTTTGTGAATCCCAGTCAACAGGTTGCTCTTCTAAATGCAAACTTATTAAGAAGTTGGTTGATCTTGCCTATATGAATTGTGAAATAACTGCATTATCAAACTCTAGAAAGCATGCAAGTTTGATCGACAATGATTTTACATTGTCTTTTTTGCTATACAATTTTTTTGCCTATTTGTGAATAGAAAAATTGATGGAATCATTATTCACAATATTTAGGGTGTCAAGTGGTAATGAACAATGAAAAGAACTTTTAGTTTGAAAAGGGATTTTCCCAATCAAGTAAAATTGTCACACATTGGTATCGAATAATGATTTTGGAAAATCACTTGTACATTGGAAAATCTTGGCATCTCATGGTTTTGCATAGGAGGTAGAATGCTGAATTCTAAATGCCTTGGTTAAATTTACTTAACCGTCACTGTTACAGTCACTTTCCTGCCATTCGTTTTAAATCAAACTGCTAAGTTCAGGAAGGATCACTATACACAGTCACTTTACAAGCAGATAGACAATTCCGGTGAAGATTGATCACCTCAATTATAACTTAAATATGTGACCAAGAAGATAGGTCTATCTAGCTGCTAACTGGAATCCTAGGTGGCCTTATGGAAAACCCCTTAAATACCTATGTGATGTTAGCATAGACATTTTCTGTTGATGCTTTTGTATATTTATAATATATTGTATTTGTGTTTATTATTTCTCAACAGTTTTCAGGTGGTTCACATTACAAGCTACCTGCTTACTTGGGCGCAATGTCTGTTTTTGTCTGCTTTATGGCTGCTGCGGTGTCCCTCGGTCTTTCATTTGTTCTGGTTCCCCGTCAAGTGATGCCATGGACAGGCTTATTACTGATGTATGAGTGGAGTTTTTTGACTTTTTTCTTAATATTTAGATGCTATCTAAATTTTATCCATCAATGGGGAAATTGGACTGCGAATCAGACTAACTATAATCGGCTTGATTCTGACTCGGGAAAAGGTGTGTCAAGCTAAATATAAGTGGTCTCCATCGGTGATTTCCTTGTTGCACAATCTAACTAGATATTCTCCAATTTTTCAGGTTCTCAACGCAGTGCCTCTGGTTGTGACGTAGTGGCATGGTTTTATTGGTTAGGGATGGCAGTTCTGGCTATTGTTGCCCCTTCACTGCCGTGCCTGTTGGGGATTACTGCTCTTTTTACAAGGTTACCGTGATCTGGATCTCTTGTTGGATTGAACTACTGGTGGAAAGAATTAATGAGTTGCTGCAGATCTAATTTATATCGTTTGAACATGTATAGCTGCTGCCCTGATGTGATTTTTTTACGTGTTGACAGGTTGGGTCTGATGATTGGCGGTGGTTTTGTTTTAGCTGCTTTTGTGACATTTGCCTCGGAGCATCTGGCTGTGAGAGCCTTTCTGAAAGGCTACGAAGATCGTCCGTCAGCCAAGGTCTAGAAGCACGTGTTTTCTATGCTAGGAGTTGTTGTAGTAATCATGTATTAAAGTTTTGGAAGGTCCTCTTTATTCGTTTAATTGGAAGATGACATTGGGCCGTACGCGAGTTGATATTCAGAAAAATTGAGACAGAATGAATAGATTGGAACATAAAAGACGAGGACGACTTTGCTGCTCCTTTCGGAAAGGGGGGGAGTTTAGCATGAATATTTGCTTTGTGTTACAGTCGGCTTGGAGGGATCATTACATGCTGGCAGATGCGTACGAGGATACTGTCGTGGGGCCTTTGGATTTTGCAAGTTGCTTCTCTTACATACTGTACGGGATGGGATGGGTGCAGTCTGTCTGACAGTTTGTTGATGTTGATGCTGTGAGAAAACCGTACATGCGGTACGTCCTCGGTTCTCAGGCTGCGTAGTGGCTATGAATCAAATCCCTGGATAAAGTTGGCAGGGACAGGTGCCCAAGATGGAGAGCCACGGAGAGGAGGAATCTGTAACTCGAAAGATCGGGAACAACAGTTGAAAAAGAATTCAATTTATTTTTAATTAATAAAGATAATGTTTTTAATTTTATTTTTTTAAAAAAATAATATTACTCTTGTTGATATGATAAATTTATATTTTACTTTCGGTGTTTTTTTAATAACATTTAGAGTCAAATACATTTTGATAGGTATTTTTTAAATTAGAAATGCTATTTTTTTTAAAAAAGATATCTTTTCTTTATATGTAAAATATAGATATTTTCTAGAAAAATCACCGATAAACCATGAAGGAGGCGTATCTCTCTCTCCACTGAACAACACAAAGACTCCGGTCGGTCAAATAACTTCAAACAAGCCATGAACGAAGGTTTTAATCGATGTTTTCACATGCTACATTGTTACCTGCATCGCACTGCTGCTGTGCTTGCTCTCGACACTATATTACAATCAACAACAAGAATATATAAGTAGGAAAAAGAATTAAGAAGAAATGGCATATTGTGGCATGTTGTCGCATCCCCTTGCTTTTGCCACGCTCACATTCTTTCCAGCTGCAACAACGACAAGTCCTCCTTCAACAGATGGGAAGTGGAGCTCCGTTCCACTCCTTCAAGCACTCCATCAGAGGATCGATCAGCAGCCCTTTGTTGATAGCCGCGAACACCTTGTCGAACTCCTCTCCCGGCGATCGCACCTTCTCGCCGGTGAGGTATGCAGCCCCCAGCTCCTTCCTAACGAAGCGGTACAACGGGTACGACCTGCACTCCTCGATCCTGTTGCCGATGGCCGCATTGCCGCCCTCGACCGCGGCTCTCGCCGCCTCTGCTTCCTTCGGCAGGACGGCCTCCAGCTCCTCCTCCAAGGCAGCGATCTTTTGGAAGATGGACGTGTTGGCGTCCTTCTCCTTCTCACCGTTGTTCAACGCATGCTCCACGAGGACCATCCGCAGCTTGGGCATCAGAGCGTAGGTGGAGCTGCAGGGGTCGTCGATGTAGCTGAAGACGTGCTCCCGGTCGATGACGGTGATCAGGTCCTTCTCGCAGAACCGCGAGGGGTGGAGCTCGCCGTTGGCGGCCGTGGTGAGGACCCTCTTGGCGACTTGGCTCACCGTGTTCTTCACGGCTTGCTTGAGATTCTCCTCCAGGTGCCTCAGATCGATGGCTTGGCACAGGGCGACCAAGTAGGTGGTGGACATGAGCTTCAGGATGTCGACCGCCTCCGCCGTCTTCCTCGACGAGATGAGTCCCAAGGAGTTTACATCTTGGTTGTGCTGCTCGGCGCTCTGGACGTGGTTGGTCACCGGGTTGGCGAGGAACTGGAGCTCGGAGCAGTAGGCCGCCATGGCAATCTCGGCGCCCTTGAAGCCGTAGTCCAAGCTCGGGTTGCGCCCGCCGGAGAGGTTCGACGGCAGCCCGTTGTTGTAGAAGTCGTTGACGAGCTCCGAGAACTGCGCGAACATGAGCTTCCCGATGGCCGCGAGGGCCAGGCGGGCGTTGTCCATGGACACGCCGATGGGCGTGCCCTGGAAGTTGCCGCCGTGCAGGGCCTTGTTCCTGGAGACGTCGATGAGGGGGTTGTCGTTGACAGAGTTGATCTCCCGCTCGATGGACTTGGTGGCGGAGCGGATGACCTCGATCTGGGGGCCGAGCCACTGCGGGGAGGTGCGGAGGGCGTACCGGTCCTGCTTCGGCTTCTGCAGCGGGTCTTGCTCGTGAAGCTTCTTGGCCATCTTCATGTAGGAGCTGCCGTCGAGGATGTGCTCCATGATGGCGGCGGCCTCGATCTGGCCCGGGTGATGCTTCAGCTTGTGGGTGAGGTGGTCGGTAAATTCCGGCTTCCCCTGCATCACCTCGCAAAAGACCGCCGACAGCACCTCGGCGAGGACAGCGAGGACGTTGGCTTCGTACAGAACGACCGAGGCGAGGCCCGAGCCGACGGCGGTGCCGTTGACGAGAGCGAGCCCCTCCTTGGGCTGCAGCTCGAAGAACCCATGGGGGATGCCGGACCGGCGGAAGGCCTCCGCAGCGTCGACCGCCTCGCCGCCAGGGGCGAAGGCTTTGGCATTAGGGCGGCCGGTGAGCACGCCAGCGATGTAGGACAAGGGGACCAGGTCGCCCGAGGCGGTGATGGTGCCGCGGAGGGGGAGGCAGGGGGTGATGCCGGAGTTGAGGAGGCTGGCCATGGCCTCGAGGATCTCGAACCGGATGCCAGAGTAGCCTTGGAGGAGGGTGTTGACGCGTACGAGCATCGCCGCCCTGGCGGCCGGTGTCGGCAGCGTGTGGGCGGACTCCGTCCCGGAGCCGAATATTCCGGCATTAAGGAATCTGCAGCAATTGGAATCTCAGGGTTAGAGATCTCACAGCTCACGACAGCAACGGCAGCGCGACGAGACAATCAATGATTAGCAGCCATTGCCAGACCAAACACATGACAGGATCCATCAAGGATCGCGTCAGAGAACACAAGAACATGGATCCACCCAGAGTTGGACACAGGATTCATGATTGGGGTTGGTGGGCTGTGCATGACTTCTTCCTTGAGAAGTGTCGGTGAACTGCAAGTAGATGTGACTTTTGTTCTCTTCGACCTTTGGATATGATCTCATCCCCATAAATAAGAAGGCCAAACCTACACCAGCAAGAAAGCATCATGCCAACTAACGCACAGCTATTTCTCTTTCCAGCCATGCCAGGATCCATCCTCCTATTGCAGATCGCAATAGATCCTATGACAAAATGGTAGGCCAACTTTACTTGGTGTGGCAGATCCATGGCGTAAGTAAAGGATCTAAAAGAAAACATCATCTACATGGGTCAAGAGTTCGACAGAGCTAAATCGATCTCCTCAAGGTGTTTGACTGGTGTGATCAATTGCAAGCCTACCATACGATTCATGGATTTGACATTGAGGAGCCCCACTAGGTTCAGCTGTATGACGGTGACATTTCAGGAAGGGGAAAGGGGTTTGTAGAGAGAGAGAAAGAGAGAGGTGGTGATGGATCACCTAATGAGCTCCTTCTGCAGGGCGCCTCCTTCCTTGGTCCTCCTGTGAGAGGTTGCACCGAAGCCGGTGGTGACACCATAGCTGTCGGTCCCGTTGGTCATGCTGTCGGTCACCCACTGGCTGCTGGCGCGCACTCCCTCCCTGGCGGACTCCGACAGCTCCACCCTCACCGCCGAGTGCGGCGCCATGGCGACCGCCGCCACCTGAGAGATCTTGAGCGTCGCGCCCTCGAGCCGCACCAGCGGCCGCCGGAACTCCTCCACCATCCTCTTGACCTCGTCGAGGTGGCTCCCCGTCAGCGCCTCGGCCGCGGCGCCCCAGTTGAGGGGGTCGGCCTTGACGCAAAGCCCGTCGGCGAAGCCATTGCCGTGGACTCCGTTCTCGACCTCCATCGATCGAAGAACAAGGGGTGTCAGAAGACCAGAACGTAGGAGGAGGAGAGGCAAAGCTAGAGAGCTCGAAGAGGGAGTCGGTGATCCTTCTCCTGAGGAAGGAAGGAGGTCAAGGCAGAGCTTAAATAGAGACGCTTGTGGTGTCGTGCGGAGTTGGGTGGCTGCAACAAGGAAGGTGGGTTAGTTGGCTTAAGATTTGGTCCATTGGATCAACCGACACCGACGGTGAGATATCACGTGACTCTCTCCTGTCAAAGATGAAGTCCGAGGGGTTGGTGGCAACCGATGCAAGCATGCCATCATCTTCCTCACCATTTCTCCCCCCAATATTTCTCTTCTCATTTCTCCATTGCAACTCCTCAGCTAATTCTAACC